GGAACAATTTACTTTCTTGAGCACATATTCAGAGTGCTTGACAGCACCAGAGAAAAGCAATGTTTTCTCTCAGTGAGTGTGCCACACATTAATGTCTCCCATGTCCTGTCTCCATCTTTGCTTCTCCTCAAGCTAGGGAATTATAAACCATCATTTGCATTCCAAACACCTGTAGAAACGATGGCTAAAAAGAGCCAGACTGTTAAATCTCAGCTCCATGTTAGACCAGAAAGGTACAGTTTGATCAGCTTAAATCATTCACTGCTTTAGGATAGTCAACCATTGCTCCTGAAAATAACAAGATGAAAACCTGATCATAGATGCTGAGGGTTTTATCTTAATACACTCCTAGAATGAAGAAAGAAAGAGTTTGAGCCAAACATTTTGACATTCAATTCTGAATGTCGTCAGAATGAAAATTTTTGCTGTGCCAACAGGTACATCTGCATCAATCAGTTGTTGAGCATCAGCATTGTCCTACCCCTGCCATGGTTAGTAGGTTGTTGCTTCTCATGTTGGTACAGGCCAAGCTACTTTTGATAATGACAGACAGAATGTTAAAGGAGGTGTCACTAATTGCTATTATTACTTTACAGTTGTCCAAGTATAACACTTGGAAGTCTGAAATGCTATTGCCTGATTATTTCATGAAAACCCATCTCAGTACAGGCCTCTGCTTTTATTCTCCTTACTGCAGAAAGAGCCCCAACTAAGATGATGGTAAATATATTTTCCACTATAACAAGCAATACTTCCCTTGACTCCATCTATTTACATCATCTTTTCTACTTTAGGTTAAAACGTGGTGTGCTTAGGGCTTTTTTTGTCTTTTTAATTTGTTGGTTTGCCAAAAAAAAATACGTTTATGGGGTTTCTTTTTATGTAGATAAAAGCATCCCTACTGTTCTTGCACTCACTGTCCTCTTAATTTTTTATCTGTGATGAAATTATCCTATGTTAGTTTGAAATTCTGAGGCCAGAAAGGTCGATAATAAATTTGTGCCATTTCTCACTTTGAAATAACACTCCTAATCTGTTCCAGTCTTATCAGCTATACGATATTTAGGAATTACTTCTTTGCAAAATGAGTTAAGCCACAAATGTCTACAAAATGATACTGGTTTTTACTTAAAAATAGCAACAACAAACCAAACGGGTAACACCTGGATAAACTAAAGAGGCTAAATATTTTATTCATTCAGAAAACATAAATATTAAAATGCTTAAGTCTAAATATTAAATACTTACATCCTTTCCCTTGTATATTCTATTCTTTAGTTGCTTACATTTACATTTGGAGATAGGGGAATGACTCCATTTGTTACCTTGAGCATTTATAGGAATTTCAGCAACCATTTAAGTATCAAACATCTGTGTGTTTTACACTTAGTGGGAAATGAAAATGAAACATGTGAGGGTTTCCAAGGCAGCAGATGAAACAAGCCAACTTTACCATTGTTCTGACTTTTTCACAATGTCACTGTCTTGGATTTCACATCCAGATAGAGATGCTGTGAATAAATTCAATGGGTGAAGAAGCAGAAAATAAGGAGGAAAAGAGGATTTGCCGTGTGGATTCATTATAACAATGTGGAACACAGAGTCTCACACACACAGGCTTTCCTTACTCCCTACGGGATATCTATCTGTAGGCCTCTATCAATTTCTAGGAGATTTTCTATGTGAAAGGATCCTCCAGTTAATTTCAGTCTATAGCTTGTTTTAGATTTATCTTTCTCTTATGTCTTCTCTCTTCCTTTCCCCTTTTCAAACCTCTGTTAAAAGAGGGGTGGGGAGACAGAGTTAAAAATAAAACAGGGAAAACAGTGTTAGGTGTGTATCTTCAGAAGGGTTTTGTGAAATACCACTGCTTCATGCTGACTAAAAGCACAACTTACTGGGTTATTCTAGCTGCTCATGAAAAATACAGGATATCTATGCACCCATTATTCTTCACATCTCTACAGCAGCCTCATCACTGAGGAACGTGATTTTTCAGGCTGTGTCAGAACAGCAGAAAAGAAAGAACAAGGATCAGGTTGTAGAGAACAGGAGACAGATACCAGAATCTCTCAGCAACATGTTCAGAGACATGGACTGTACTTGTATGATTGTGTTCAATATGTTTGTAAAAGTGGAAGCAGGTAAAGAGCAACTCGTTTGTAGGTTTAAAAAACTTCAGTCTGATACATGATGTGACCAGTTCCCTCTTTATCTGACTAAAAATCATGTGCAGCAACACATAAATCTGAAGGTCACAAAGCTGCTCCTTTCAAATATGATTTCAAACATAATTTTATTTTGGTAAAAATAACCATCCCTGAAAATCACCTTGGCAAGCCAAGTGAAAAGACAGAAAAAGGAAACCAGTAAGGGTGTGATTTGAGGTACTAGTTCTAAGGTCACTAGGAATGTTATTGGAGGGTTTCAGGGAGCTATTTTCTCTTTTTTTTCCTCCAAAAAAAGACGAGGTAAATGTTACATCTGGATCTTTATTATCTGAAAGGCACTTTATCCACCAATCGTGAGAAATGAGACAACATTTGTGTAATACAAGGTAACACTTTAAATATTTTTCCAAGTGTCACTGATCTTATCACCCTGACCTGGAATAAAACCTGTTGAAATTGCATTGTAAACTACTAAAATAAACTGTGTGACTGGCCAGGAGTGAAACTAACTTGTGCCTTTAAACTCAGTATTTCTCCAGAATCAGTGTAATTTAATTGAAATAGCTCTGCGTGTGTAAACAACTCCTTTGTTTAAAGAAGATTTCACTGTTTAGTTTGCCTTAAGTAAATGCTGCCTTTTGTTTGTCTGTAAAACATTTGATTAAATGTAAAGACTTACATAGACAGCTTCTCCTCATTACACTAGTGGCTGGAAAAGAAGTTAAAATGGTGCAGGTATCTGCCATCTGAGGAAGGATCAAACAATATCATTTGTCTTTACAAGACAAACCCATGGAAACACCTTAAGCCTGGTCCTAAAATCCAACTGCAACTCTCCTAATACCAAGAAGATGGTATTTAAAGAAGTGTTGAAACTGTTCAATATACCAGACTCTTTTCCTGCTTCCTTAAAAAAATGTTTTCTAATATTTTAATCAAACTCCAGATTTCCTATGCAGCAAACCAGTTTTAAATATATGACTTTCTGCTGAATTAGAATGTTGTAATATAAGGAACCCTACTTTAATGTGATCATAATGGTATTGAACAACAAAATAAGCAAGACAACTAACAGGTCAGACACTGGAATAAGTTGCCCAGGGAGGTGGTGGAGTCACCATCCCTGGAGGTGTTTAAGAAGAGTTTAGATCTGACACTGGAGGATATGACTTAGAGTTTAGGGGTTCCAGCAGTGACAGGTTAATGGTTAGACTCAATGATCTTAGAGGTCTCCTCCAACCTTGATGATTCTGTGATTCATATAGCATCATTTTCTTCAACAGCTGAAATGCTTTTATAAATCATAATAATTGCTTCAATGTATTCTAGACAGGATAAAAACTAGATTATATGATCAAATAACTGCATTTACTATTAAAAAATAAACAAATGTTGAAACCAAAAGTTCATGTTTGGTCCTTTATCCTTTGGAAGAGCTCTTAAATTCACTTTGAGGCTAACCAAACAGAATTTCAGTCAAGTCAGAAAGAAAAGCAAGTATAGCAACTTTTTCATGTCCATACAGCCATTTGCAATGCACAATCCATAATGAATTTTGCAGCTTTAAATCTTTATGCTAGTGGTACTTACAGTATCGCAATGCACAATCCATATTGAATTTTGCAGCTTTAGATCTTTATGCTAGTGGTACTTACAGTATACCTTTTATTTATATTTTCAAAAACATGGGAAGTATCCTGGTATCTTAGAATTTTAGGGATTGGAATGCACCTTAGAGATCATCTAGTCCCAACCCTCTGCCATGGGCAGATTGCTCAAGGCTTCATCCAACCTGGCTGTGAACACTGCCAGGGTTGGGGCATCTACTACTTCCCTGGGCAACCTGTGCCAGTGTCTCACCACCCTCACAGGAAAAAACATTTTCCTAATGTCTAACCTAAATTTCCCCTCTTTCAAGTAGGAATGGAACAGCAGCTCAGGAGACATGGAGGGCAGGATGGTTGTAACACTTCAAAGTCTGATGTGTAGCTGGATAAGGGTTGTAGTTTGCTTGTGTTTTCTGTGTATTTTGGGACAGCTTTTCAGAATCAGGATAGAGGTGCCAAAAGAGAGCCAAGCATCCCTCATGCTCAAGACAGTCAACTGTTTACAATGCTAAGGCTGAAATCTATGTTATTTCTGACTGCTCATACTCACCCTAGGTAAAACATAAGCTATTGTGTAAGCTTTTCTCAAGATTTCAAGTGAGGTGTCAGTGTTGAACATAACCTCAAGAACACTCATTAAGCTTTACTGCTTTTATCTTGTCCAGTTCAAGAGACTTTTTTTAAAGTACGTAGGTTAAAATGGTGGTAATAACTAATGACATTAGTATTAATTTTTGAACAAATGTAAATATATTAGTGGTGTTCTTAAATAGTTCAAGAATTTTTGCATCATTATGTAATTCTGAAAAAACTCTCATGTCAAAATATAAATGAATACTGCACTTAATTGTAACTTTTTCCATTACATAATATGTTGAGATTTATTCCCTTCATTCTGAGTTGGTTTAGGTAAGAGTGGGTTTTTGTAAGGAAAAGATGCTGCCTACTATTCTCATCCCTCCCCTAAACTTGGTATAAATTGCTTTTTCAAGAGTAAGAGATGATGATGATGATGATGATGATACTGGATTTAATTCATCTTTTTTTGCGGTTAATTCAAACAGTGCCTACTGCCATCAATAGAGGTTGAAGTAAATTCCTGTGTTGAAGGCCTGGAAATCCCTGTACATTAAACATTAAATAGATGCTTTTACTTATATGAACCATGTACACGATTGCATTTTAATTCATTTTTTTTGTAATCTATGTCTCCTTTGATTAGGCAATGCTGGATGTTGCAGCACATCATGGCTGGCTGGTGACTGCTCTGAATATAACCAACCTGGTGCAGATGGTAGTTCAGGGGAGATGGTTACATGACTCTTCCCTGCTTACTTTGCCCAATATAGAGCTACACCACCTTTACCTTTTTCGGTATGTAATTCTTTTCAGCATTAGCAGCTTTGCAATTTCTTTCCACTTCAAACTGCTGACTGTGTTTGAATGTCATTGTTGTGCCTAAGAATGTTCATTAATGCAGCAGAAGCAGAACTCTGTCTTTCACAGTGATGCTTTCCCAAATGGATTTTCTGTTTCTGTTTTCAATGTTCATTGATTAATTAACCCCCACAGATTATGTTGAGAACCATGATTCCAGACAAATTAACAAGAGATCACTGGAAGGGTTCCAAGTCCTAACAAATCTAACTCTGTATATTAATTATCTCTTTATTTTAATCCATTATAAAACTGCATTAGTATCCATCCTAACATCACAGATAATGCTAAGTTCTGTAGATGCCTAGATGATGCAGTAATTAATGCTAACCAAAAATAAGTGACCAGCATTTAATAACAGAAACCAGTATGGAGTTTTACCTCCAAAACAACTGAATACAAATGTTTGCTTTCCCTCCCTGGACATATGTTTTGCTGTCTGTGTCAGGAAGTGGAGCCCAGGCCAAAGGAAGAGTGTGCATGGAGGTTACCAAGGACCTATCGAGTGTCTTCCCGAACTAATGGCTGCCTGTGAAGGAAGAGAGAATGTTTTTGCTTCCATTGTGGACAGTGAGTTGCAAACAGCACACATTTCACAGGTAATACTTTCTATCTGTGGTAGGTATCAATGTGATTGGAAAAAAAGAGTAGCTGGGAAAAGAAATACTGTCTCCCCTTCAGCAAATGTCATGTGATGTTCTGTATAAAGTGCAGCACATTCATTGCTGTAATTTCGAGGTCCTGCTAGCTTTGCAAAGGTTCTTCTCTGCCTGTTTTCTTGATATTATGCTCACTTATTCCCTGCTAACCAGTAACAGAGTCTGGTTTATGGTTTATGCATTGCAAATGTCATCGTAGCTGGTTTCTGAAGTGGTCTATCAAACACCATTTTTTTCTGAGAATACTCTTAGTAAAAAATCCAGCACTCATTTTCTATTTGAAATAGGAAAAAGGGATGAAAATTTCACACTTCACAGGGGGGAGAAAAAAATACTGTTACAAAATGTTGAGGCTGCCAGAGTCTTATTTTCAGTTTGATTTTCAAGCCATTCCCAGCAAAGGATAGCTCTGTTCCATAGCATTCATCACATGCTAAGCCTATTGATTTCAAATAGATGTATGAAAGATGAAAACTTCAGAAGCTATACTTCAAATGTTATTTGAATATTTAAAAGGACAGCAATATGTCCTGTTTGACTGTTCAGCTTCAGTTAAACCTTTTACTAGTATGCAAACAAGAAGAAAAGTACTTAAATGTCTATAACAGACATCTGTGCTTGTAACCAAATTAACATCAAAATTTTGAATTAAGGGAAATGTATTGACATCAAAAAAAGGCTTCCTTTACCAACAGATTTCTAACATAATACACATTGATTTCAGTCCAACTTTTAGATGTGATAAAAAATTAGAACATTGTTATAATTAGTTCAGGGAGAACTCAGAAGTAAACTTACTTAATTTATTTGCATAAATTGCCATTCTGTTATCTTTAAAAGCAAATGCAAATTGGCTCTGTCTGATATGATGATGGTTATTTGGCTCAAAAGTGCTTCAATTTGCGTAGCAATCTGGTGTCGTCTCTGCAGTGAGGCGATCCCAGGTAACATACAAATCCTGAATTATTCCAGAAATTAGTATGTTTAAAGCATCAATTTAAGTGCTAATTGCAGTAGTAATGAGAAAAAGCAGTACTACTGTGAGATTTGCATCTACTGCCCCATCAGTATGCCTGGAACGGCTGCTGACTGGCAGAGGATTTGGCTGCTAATTAAATAATTGTATGCATGGCAGTGTTCTCGTCTGATTCAATAGATGAAGATTAATCCTCAGATAAATATGTTTGGCTGGTATTGAAATGTCTTAGCAGTTTCTTCAAAAATAGCTTGTGTGTATGTGGTGTGTGCGTTGGCACTGTGAGTGACTCTGTGCCTCTATATATATCTATGTTTGCAAGTACAGATGCATATAAGAGGGAAAAACAGAATATCTTGGCATCATGTAAGGATAAAGTTTCATTTCCATGAGCTGGGAATGGCCATATTGGGTATAGCAAAGCCATGACTCTACTGTGCAGGTCATTACAAATGTGAAACCTTTCTGCCAAGATGTTATATTCTTGACAGAATTTTTTTTTTCAGATAAAAGAACCCAAAAAACTATTGTAATACCTTGCACAGAATTAAAATTCATGTCGAGGCTGCCTGTTGAGTGTCTTCATATGTAAAGCCTTTCAGTGCTCACATAGACAGGGGCCAACTGAGAGAGAAATTCAGTAAAGAATGAATCTCTATGATATGTTTTCTGTAAAGAAATATCAGACTACAGAGTTTAAGCTGAACATTCTGGCACCAGACATGAACAGAATCAGATAAAGTGGTACGTGCACCACTAAATTGCCAAAAAATATTGTTTTCCTAACAAACCTCTTCTCACTCAAAGTATATTGAACTCATATCTTAAACATGTTACTAGCAGGAAACTGGTAGGAACAGCTTGAGCTTCACATAAATTCCAGACAAACAAGAAAAGGAAGAAAATTCACATTTGGAAAGAAGAAAATGTCTTTTAAGCAGATTGGTAATTAATTTTGAAATAGCAGCTCTTGAAGCTGCTCATGGATTTGGAATATTAGGCTAAGTCCTGGGGAGACAGATTATTGGCAAAAATACTAATGAATTTATATCAAAGGTTCATGAAGAACTTCTCATGTGATTATGACTTCAATCTATGGGCTTGGTAGGTAAACTGATGCATATAGTACATGTACACATTGGGCACATTGACATATTTAATGGGAGATACTATGTGCTTGTGTCCTCCTGTACAGAAAAAAAACCTAGGAAAATTATCAAGAAATACCTAAGTGACCTGAGAGCCTGAGTCTAATTTTCTAAAAGTTAGTTTTATAATGCTAAAAGTCATTGAAAGTCAAATTTGAAAGCCTAAATTCAAAACCTATTTAGACTAACCCTGATCTTTGGTCAAAGCTCCATGTTTGTTGCAGTGATTCATTCTGAATCACATTTCTTTAACAAATGTTTTTCGGTTTCTAAGTCACTTAGGCATTAGGCATCTTTTAAAAATATTAAGCTGATACTGATGTTATTAAAAGAGAAGAAAGAAACTTTGAGATTGAAACTAAATGTTGTCCCTGCTGTAGTATTACAAACTTTTACTCAGGAAATATCTGTGTTCCTATAATCTTTTCATTTTCAGCTGCTATTACTTGACGTTTTTCCTTTCTCAAATACACAACACCTGTAAAATCAAGGTATCATAGAATCCTTTAGGTTGGAAAAGACCTTTAAGATTATCAAATCCAACCGTTAATGACCAGGTGACATATTACAACCACTTTCTTAGCTAATTAGAAAGTTGCTCAGAGTTGCTTTGGTTTGTTTGCACTGTGGAAGCTACAAGAGGACATGACAGCCTTCAACCCATGGAATATGTTGGGGTTGTATGGTCTAAACCAGCCCAAATCACAATCTTCACCAGAGCAACAGGTAACACCACTGAAGGAGTTAATGCATTAGGATCTCCGCTGAAATGAAACATTGTTCCAACATGTTTGTAATAGGTCTTTGCTGAAATTAAACGTTGTTCCAACATGTTTGTAATAGGTCTTGTCCTCTGAGAGAGTACACATAAAAGTTTTCCAGGTAAATGATATCTAAAGTATAACCAAAGAGGTGATCACCAGGTTGATACACATCAAGGTGCCTCTTCTGAACACAGCAGTTCACTGCTTTGGTGCACAGAGACTCTCTCACACAGTGGGTCTGTAGAGTTCCTACATTTTAAAAACCTTTTAAATCTTAAAAACCTTTACATCAAACATCTTAAAAACCTTTACATCAAACATAAAATCATTTGCCAGTTTAAGGTGTTATTACTCAAATTATTTCATCCAGTTTGATCTGCTGGTTTTAGTAGTCTTGTGTATTAAATGCATCAAAATCCTGACAACAATCAATTCATTAAGAATGTCTGTAGTGGGTTTTTTCTCCTTCTTCAAAGTGCTGCCTTTTTTTCTCCTTTTCCATTTCAGAGTTGGGACAGAGAGGGGTATATTTTCCCTGAAAGTTCTAGCTGTTTAGTTTCTGTTACAATTTTTCTTAGCTAAGGCACCATTAAGAGCATTGGAGCGATTCATCCTTGTCCCCTGGTTTTACCCTGCAGCTCCTGAGCACTCACAGCTGGCCCTCCCCACCTTCCCATTGAACAGGCACAGCTGTTCAGGCAGCACACAGAAGAGGGAAGAGAGAGATTAGTTTTTAGCTTAAATCAGTTTTCTCATTTAGTTCAGCCATTTTAATCCCAATAAGCCTGTGCTGCAGCCGAAATGGGCAGTCCTGCCCTCCCCGTGCCGCTTTCACCTCCGCTGACCCAGCTCACGGCACAGCTGCACAAACGCTGGGGCTGGTTCAGGCAAGGAGGTAGGAATGAGCATCTGGGGACGAGGGGAGGAGGAGAGATCATACCAACCCACTCACTGACAGTCAGAATGGCCTGTAGCCAAGTGGCGACGTGAATGCCTGTGCCAGCAGGGGAGGAGGCTGGACCACTTCTTTCAGAGGTACAGAAGGTTCATGCTTATTCAGAGTCACAGGATTAGAGAATATGCTGCCACAATCAGCTTTAAGCTGGTCTAAGTTCACGCTGTCACCCGAGTGATTAGCAAGCTGATCCATCTAGCTGCACAATCCCAGCATGGTAGTGCCAACATACTGGGGATGGAGAGGGGGACAGCTATCTGGTGGAGAGGATGCTGAAGAGAGGGACAGCACCACCTTCCCTGCAGCAGTGAAACCTTAGGTCCGCTTACCTTGGCTGCTGTATCCCTAATTATGTATTGACATATACTATTATTGTATATACTATTATTAGTATGACTTGTGGCAACAAGGTCTGCAAAAAGCAAACTGAGATTTTGTTAGAGCTCTAGGCCTTCCAGCACAGAAAAAGTAATCAGAGACGCATCAGGAACAATCTACATGAAAATATATTTTGTTGAGACACAAAATGGTCAAACCAATATTTGAAAAATAAAATATACTTTAGCCTTTTTTCAGATAAAACATTTCAGTTCCATACTAGTATTGCCCATGTAACTATGCCTGCCCTCTTCATTCCCACAGGTTCCCATTTTGGCATCTACTGGCTCTTGACCAAGATCAATATTCTTCTTTCCTTCTTCTCCTCTCCACCATCTAGTTTTTCATATGTGCTGATTCCTGTTTTGTTCTGGGGAAGGAGGGCAGGGCAGAGGATGGTTCTTGTTTTTTGGGGTTTTTCCTGCAGTGCCAGCCCTAACTTTTTCAGCCATAGTAAGGCCACAAATCACTGCCTCTGTTCCACAGCCAATCCCCTTTCTTTTTCCTAAATTTCGTTGAGCGAACGTGCTGATTTTCTTTTTTGCTAAATGAAAGCCTACACTGCTCTCCTATCTTTGTCACAGCTTTTCAGAGCTGCTTTTCCTTGTCTGATAGAGACCAAAATGAGAGATACATAGCACTGCATTTTCAGAATGCCAATTTGAGTGTCACGTTCAGCTACACAAATTGCATCCCCTAACAACAGTTCTCTGCAGAAGGATGAGAGAAAACTGAGGACCTGTTGCAGTTCAAGAGAAACCACAGAAACTTCAAATTCCTCAGAAGGGCTGCAAGCAGGAGGGTTCATGAAGATCAGTGCAAGAAAACCCTAAAAAAAAAGAAAACTTAAACCTTAAAAAAAAATTAAAAAACTTTGGATATGCAGTTGAACTTTTGGTTAATTATCTGAACTGATCCTCTGAACTCTCTGAGGTTTGCCCATTGCTAATTAGCACTGCAGTGACTTGTTCTTTGTGGATTATGCTAAGGAAGTTTAATTTAAAACTTAATTATACTAGTTTTTAAGTGGCTTATAGGGAAAAAATACTTTAATCGGGAGCAGTAAGGAATTCTTGCAGTGTTCAGACACTGGTAATCTTAGTGAGGCATGTGTAACGTGCCTGAGGAGTTTCACATTTGTTTTATTTGCTAAGAACGAAGTAGCAGAAGAGGTTAATGAAAAGTATTTTATGCTTATGATTGAGAGTCATACAATTATATATGATATTCTAATAATAAGAGATTATTCATATAGAATAAATATGTAGACTGCACGGTGAATTGTTTTTGTTGCAGTGACAATGACTGTATAGATTGTCTTGTAATCCACAGGGATCTGTTTTTTCCACAGGCTTGGAATTTCTTGTGCCGTTTGCCAATTCTACACGTCAGTCTGAGCATTAAGGGCAGTTGGGATGACATGGATCAGCCACAGAACGAAGTACCAGTTCCTTCTTTGACAGCAGACACACGAGATGACAAAAGATGGATCAAATTGCATGCTGATCAGGAGTATGTGCTCCAAATCCATCTGCAGAGAACCCAGATGGGGTATCAGGTAGGTTAATTATTATTTCCTTCCCAAGGACACAAGTTTCCCCTCAAGCATTTACATTATCAATGATGCTTTATGTAGCATAATGGGTTTTTTTATGGTTTAAGTATTATGTATGTTATAAAGACTTTCAAAGCCTTTTCTGTATTATTTATGAAGCAAGTGCTTTTTTCAGGCTGCAACAGGATAGTAAATAGGCTCTTAAGGTAAAATCCTAGACCAATTCAAGTCGAGGAAAAAAATTCAAACCAGTTTATAAGCTTCCTGGTTATATTCCCAAGTGCTTCCAAACTGCATACCAGACTCATACCTATAAATCCATTTCTACTCATAGCACACTGTCAGGCCCTTGCTGAGGATATTTTTGTTGTATTTTACGTGTGATGCTTTTTTGAACAGCTCCTAGAACAACTTCCACATGCAATTCTTTCCCACACCTATATTTCAGTCCCACCTCTTTGCCCAGTTTAAAGCACATCCCATTGCTTCTTGGGCTGGTCACCTCACTGGGCCCTGAGCAAATTTTGTGTGCCATGCCAGAAACTCCAGCAGCTGTGCAGGTTCCCAACTGCTCTGTCCCCAGCAGCAATAACTAGCTGCACCTTCTTGTCAGTCTTGGAAGAGTTAGTCTGTGCCTCCTGCCTTCACATCAGGCACTGCTGACACTGTAGCTGTCACTTATAGATGCCTTTTTCTGTCATTTGCATACCATGAGTGGCATATGGGCCACGATGATTAGAATTTTGCTAATTAATTTCTCTAACACTTCAAACAACTAAGAAATACAATTACCAGCATTTTTGCTAAGATAGGAAGAAGGACTCAAGATGTAAGTGGAGAACAGTTTCAGATGTTACTTCTGAGACTCATAAGACAGCTTCAATTTTGATAAAAGTAATAATGGAGATACATGTGTTCAGTTTAAAATCCTCAAGGTAACTTCCATTAGTTTAGAATTTTATTTGAAAAGTATTCTTCTTTCCCAAAAGATTTCTTGTCCTGACTACAGCAGGTTGAAACTGTCTTAATTTAGGAAGGACAAAGGGTGAAAGCTCATCCATACACCATTCTATTTGCTGTGCCAGTTACTGACAGAGACTTTTCCTAACCAGAAGCCATGGAAAAGAAAGCAGCAAAAGCATTTCATGCAATGATCACTGTTTTATAAACCTCTCCTAGAATTTGATCCCTCTTTTGTAAGAAACAGCTGGATCAAACTGTTTCTAAAGCTTCATTGCTATGGTGGTGCTTTTTATTCTGTATAAATCTTCAGTAAAACCTTTCCCTCTACAAAACACGAAATGAATGCTGATTGAGTGTGCATCATTCTGTCTTCAGCTTTCAGCAGTAAAGTCACTGTCTTAAAGAATCACTGAAATAATCTTTCCTTTCGCTGTATCAACCTCAAATAAATACTTCAAGTGCTGTTTTTGTCTTTGCATTAATCTCGAACAATATTGTTTAGCTCTGTTTAAAGACACTGGGTTTACAATTAACCCTTCCGAAGAGAGTAGCATATTTCCATTCAGGTTTTAGTAGTTTACAAAATAAGTGGAATAGTATCTCATATTCTGGAGTTTTTCTCTGTGGACTGCAATTTTTAATTTTTATCTGGAAAGAAATAACAATATTTTAGTGTGGCAATTCACAACAATGTGTTTCTGAGGTGTTTTCTCATTCAAGGAAAGGTGATACCTAGTTTTCTGAAGCTGTTTCTTCTCCCCTACAGGGAAAGCAGGACAGTAAAGCAATGGCTCCTCGATTCCCCAAAGCTAAGGATGAAGGATGGTTTTTGATACTGGGAGAGGTTGATAAAAAAGAACTCATCGCCCTGAAAAGAACTGGATACGTCAGGAATCGAAATACTGTTTCTGTTGCTTTTTATACTCCAGAAACACCTGGAAAGTATGACAAATTTACAAATTAACTTCTCTTAATTATTACCTTTTCCAAGTAGTCAAGTCCTAATTTCCAAATTAACAATTCCCCTTCTACATTTTAGGTGTATCTACACACTCTATGTCATGAGCGACAGTTACCTCGGCATGGACCAACAGTATGACATTTACCTGAACATTGTTCCAGCAAATGCTGCAGCACAAGTCACTACAGACGTGTCTGATGCCATGAGCCACCTGGCTCTGAAGTAAGGACATCTGAAAAATGCAGTCAGTCAAAAGAATTGGTCTTGCAGCTAAGACATTTGGTCATTCTGGACATCCAAAAATGCATTTGCCTTAGTGGAACCAACTTCAAACCTCAAGACACCTGGGAAATTGAAAGTGACTACTGTATTGACTCTGGTGACACAGAGTTAGCCACAGTGGCCTTACTCCTTTATGAAGATTTGTCTTTTCTTGTTTTACCTTTCTTCTTTCCAAAGTCATATTGTTAATTGAATTTTGACACATCAAAATAAAAGACTAAGAGATACTGTAATTTGCGCAAATTCAGGGCTATCGTCTTCATTTTTAAAAGTGTTCTGTAGCTTATGTATTAATGTAGTTTATAGTCAAGTCTTTTTTAATTTATAGGGGAAATACAAAATTTGATCTAAGAAACTGATGAAAATATTGATGGATGTGATATATTTCATGTTTAATAAAAATATGTCCATAAGAATGTTTTGCATTAGATTTTTAGGTGTAAAATATGAGAGATGTACTAACAAATTCCTCCTCTTATGGAGGAGAACATTTGGAAGATGGTAATCTAAAGGAAAGTTTCACCAGTCTGTATTAATTATATATGCAGTAAATCTGGTTATAAAGGCAAATTAAATGGTATAAAATATTTCCAGTATAGTAATGATGCAATTTATATAGGTAATAATTAAAGTATACCCTTTTACATGTGTGTACATACAGATATATATATATATACACACATATATATTACATACTTAAAATTTCCCTAGTGGTTTTTCCTGAATTTTTAAGGACTAAGGCATATAAAATTAGGTGTCCTGTTCTAGGGCTTGGTGCTAAAGTGGGTAAATAAGGGAGCATGAGACTCCAAAACCAGGGTTTGCAACAGATGGCTTGATCAGCAAGGAATAGATCTGCCAGGCAATAGGTAGTGTCTAAGAGATGCCCAGCTCAGTGATAGTACCTGCAAGACATAAATCTGAAGGGAGAAGGTAGCAACATCTATCTTCTGCCCAGTACAGTGATGAGACTACACATCCTGATGGCAGTTCTCAACCTTAAGAGGATTGAAGATGCTGAGCAAGCACTTGGAGGCAAAATACTGCAGAAACATCAATGCATCTTCATTCAGATAGACTAGACCTCAAACTGACTATTAATATTTGCACTTGCTCAGCTTTGCATTGAGCTGATAAGCATTACCTCTCCAAGGGATCATTTTGCTGTCATTTCCATTGTATTTCACCAGATGAAAGAATACAGCAGAGTTGTTGCCTGGAAGCTTCCCAGAACAAAATTCACTGGTGCTGCACCCACATAGAATCACTGAATGGCTGAATTTGTCAGGGACCTCTAGAGGTGATCTGGTCTAACCCCTTTCTTCAAGCAGTGCTTCCCAGAACAAAATTCACTGGTGGTGCTGCACCCACATAGAATCAATCACTGAATGGCTGAATTTTTCAGGGACCTCTAGAGGTCATCTGGTCTAACCCCTTTCTTCAAGCAGGGCCACCTGTTGCTGGTTGCCCAGGACCACGTCCAAGGCAGCTTTTTAATACCTCCAAGTGTGGGGACTCCACCAGCTCCCTGGGCAACCTGTGCCAGGGTTTGGTCACCCTCACAGTAAAGAAGTGTTTCCTGTTGTTCAAGAGGAACCCTCCTGTGTTTCCACATGTGCCTGTCACCTCTGGTCACCCCTGAAAGAGCCTTGCTCTGTCCTTGTTATCATCTTCCATTCAGATATTGATAAGATTCCCCTGAGCATTCTGCAGGCTAAACAATTCCAGCCCTCTCAGCCCTTTCCTATGTGAGAGATGCTCCAGTCCCTTCATCGAGTTCTTTGTGGCCCTTTCCTGGACTCCCTCCAGCATGTCCATGCCTCACTGCCCCAAACCAGACACAGTGCTCTACTAGTGTGGCATCACCAGTGCTGATCAGCTCTCTCTACCTGCTGGCAACACCACATTGCAGCAAGCAGAAGGCTGGCTGATTTCAAAGGATTAACTATCAGTTTATTTCATTGTATCTGGCACCTCTAAATTGTGAGAAAAGTTTTTAAAATAATCAGTTTTGTAATTGAGTGTTTTCATCACCTCATGATGGTGATGCCACCCTCATTAGAGGAATTCAAGAGCCATCTGGACACAACCCTGAGCCATGTGCTCTAGGCTGGCCCTGCTGGAGTAGGGGGATTGGACCAGATGACCCACTGTGGTCCCTTCCAACCTAACTGATTCTGTGATGCTAAAAATTTTGTATTTCATTATTATAGGCAATTTATTACCTACAGAAATGTGCCTAAGGAAATGGGACAATAATAGAAAAAGTTGTCACTATATTTGCAGCCAGCTGGATGATACCTCAACCACCTTCACCATTTAGACTATCTCAATACTATCTCAATACAATATGGTGTTGTGTCACAGAGCAAATGGATTTGGTGTTTTTTTTCAAATTGGTAGGCAAAAGTTTGGTTCTTCACACATTTGCTTAGTCCATTTTTAAGAGAATTGTTTTCTCCAATCTGCAAGTATATTTTCACAGAAAATAAGTCCTTTCTTTAGAAAAATTCTTGGCTGAGGCACTATGTTGTCCCACACCAATTTTAATTAAGTAGGAAAAAGAGCTATGCCACACTCAACATACCAACATAGTGACACTAGCTCATGTTGCTTTGTAAATGCACATCACAGAACAGTCTAACTGCAGAGCAGCAGACAATAGCCTCAGTACTCTGTATTAATAAATTCAAGAGTTTCTGTAATGTCATTTGTACCATTTGTACTTTGGTTTGGAAACACTGTATTTTCTAACATGTCAATTGTTTTTAGAAATAGTTTGGTGAAATTTCTAAATAACATATTTGAAACATTTTTTATTTTTTTACCAAAAAGCATTGGATTCATGAAGACAAAGTCTGAAGTAATACAGACTGAATTCAAGTAAATTGATTAGAATCAGTGTTTAGCTGAAAAATCCAGGGGAAGGAATTCTGATACATTTGAAACAGCTGCTTAGAAGGAACAATGAATATGTTCAATCCAGTGATATCTCATGGTGAAAAGTGAGAAGAGCTGCCTAACAAGAGTATGAAACCCAAACACACAATTAAAAAAAAAAAAAAAACAAAAAAAAAACCCAGAGATAAACAGAGCTGCTTGTACTAAATAAGTCTCTTCACAAATAACTCCTACAGAGAGTTCGATCTAGCCAGAAGAAACTATCTCTATAGTAAAGGATTCTCCACAATGATTACACCATCCTGCAATTAAATATGTTTACAATATGTCTTGTACTTAGATCTTCTAATAAGCTCCACACTGCATCAATGGGATTTGAATCTGGGACTCTCCAAGTCTTTCTTCTGCATCTCTACTCCTAGAAAATCACAACCACCTTCTCTGCTGAAATGTCTCCTCAGATATAAAGAGCATTAAAGTTTCACTAAAGCTATGTGCTAGACTTCTCAGCTGCTTTTTTTCCCTCCAGCCTAGTCTTGCCCTACCAAAGCTCTCGATAAAAATAGGTGGCTTGGATGTCTCCTTGCAGAAGAACCATACACAACAGAATTGGTGATATCCCAATGGATCACACAGGTGAGAAGACAACCTGGAGATCTCACTGAAAATATCATGTGAGCACACGGGGGTGTCTACATCTAGATTTGACGATAGAAATGAGAACGTGGAGGGAAAGGAAATTAAGGCATCAGCTATTGTTCATATAGAAAACCCATTAAATAAATAAAGAAAAATATTCTGGGCTGAATATTGTCATTCCAAATAATTCACACTAATTGTAATGACAGCAGAGGTGAATTGGGCAGTTCTGAAACGTCACACTCTCCATCACATGATCTATGTATATATAGAGCTATTAACTATCTGCTATTAACTACTGACAAGAACAGTGGTAGAAAAGCGAGTCTAGAAATATCACCATCCTTTTCTAACTACACTCTGAATCTCTACATAAAATGTGACAAACAGCATTCTTCACACAGTAGCAAATTTGCACCTCGGATCAGAAGTAGCTGTTTCCATGGGGCAATGCTAATGTGGGAAAATTAGGCTCACGTTCCTGACAGCAGTTACTTTCTTCTAGCTAAAAGGATGAAATTGTTTCCGAGGCCAATAACACATGGTTAGTTCCCATCATGTATTTTTCAGCAAATCCAACTAATTAGGAACTAATTACTGATTGTGGTAGCACAGTAAGATCAGGTTCTGATAAACTGTCATCTTTGTAGCTGTGAAGATTCTGCAAATAAGCCTTATTTTGTTTTCTCAAATGATAGCAATGTCTACAGGAAAAGCTGGAAAAAAAAGACCGAGAGGATTCTGTTATCTTCATTAAAAGGCCCCTTCATTCACCCACTCCAAAACAAGATTAATCCCCATTTCTTCTTTTTTTTTCTTTTTTCTACTTTACCCTATCTAAAATGCAACATAAAGCAGTTCAGCACAGTACCAAGAGAGACCAAGTGACTATTATAAACAGTTTACCCCACTTACAGGATCTTTCTGTTTCTTTGGCATGGTGCTGCCCTGTCCCTGCTGACATAACCTCTCATATTGTGCTTAGACTAAGCATTCTGGGATAGAACCTTTGGGTCAATTTCATTCTCTGTTTATAGGACACATAGCAGAGAGGAAGTCCTGGCCCATGATTAGGTTCCTGCAAGATACAATCTACAAATAACCACACAAGGCTCTGCAGTGCTAAACCCAGAATATGAAGCAATGTTACTCCAATGATACATGACACAAATAAAACAGGTGCAAAATCTGCAGCACAGTTAGCTGTATGATTGAGGCAAATGCCAGCTTAATTTTAGATTTTAGTGACTTGATGCAAAGAGGGAATCAGCTAATCTGGGGAAAAAAAATAAAAGGGATGCAGAGATTTCTCAGTTCTCCTTGGTAATGAAATAGGCCATATCCACTCACATGACACACATCTAGTCAAGTACAAGTTCTGCCTTTGTGCCTCTCATACATACTTGACTCCTACACACAAACATTGACAACATTTTCCAGCCTCATTCTTATGGATATTGGGAAAATACAGGCTCTCCTCAAG